CTCCAATTGCCAAGCACTTGAATTTTGATATGACCAAAGGGATGGTGCAATGGTTGTAAGTGTGGAAAACTAGTCATAAATCACTTTTTTCATTGCCATTGTATCTTTGAAGGGTCACTAAATGAGTGGTTGTAAATCAAGGACAACCTGTACTAGATTTTAAGGAACAGCTAATAACAAATTGATAACTAGTAATTTATTACTTAGAAGGCAGCCATGCTACCCATAAAAGGATACCACTAATAACAAGTATAGGAACTTGGTTTATTATCCAAGAGATGTAAGAGGCATTTTGAAGGGTCATATAAGGTTATGTCAATTGGTACCAAGAGCCTGAATTCTTAAAATCATTTAAAAAGTTTTAATTCCTATAATTCTCTTTTCTAGTCAAATTCAAGACTATTTGATACCTGATTATTTTAAAAAGTGAATTATAACCACATTACTAAGTTGTCTGTATCATCTTTTGTTGTGATAACGTATTCTCTTCCTCAAAATATTCAGAATCACTGGTGCTCCTGAATAATATGAAGATAAAGTTGCCCCTTTGCCTTTTTTAAAATGACACCTATGTGTTTCACTATGTTTACCTTTGTCTAACAGGAAGCATATGGAATAAACCTCATAAGAGGATTCCTTAGTCTCCAAGGAAAAGATTTTTCAACCCAAAGAAACTCAGCTTCTGGAAAATATATTTCTTCAGGTATTAATAGCAAAGTTATTTTAAGAATGGCCAAGAAACAATTTTTTTTTCTCTTGTTAAATTCATGTAATTTGTCATCATATAGTTTCCATTTTATTATTCTGTTCTGTCAGGTCTCCCTTCATTTTTACCTTATTCTATGTCTTCTCTCTGGTCAAAGTCTGATAAATGTAGGATCAAGGAATAAACCACACAAAATTGCTTCCAGGGAAGAAAAGACTATAAACACAGACTCACCACCCCAACTTAGCTTTTTTCATTTCTGAATCTTGGCCTCCATGATAATAGTTCCCACATGAAATCTATTATAGACCAGGACATAAGGCTCATAGAAAATATGCTGGCTTCTGTTGAATTATGCTGGCAAAAAAAATGGATTTGCAAAGACTTAACAAATTTGGTCTGGCAAGGACTACTTTGTATGTTTTCCAGGTGTGACATGGAAAGCAAAGAATACTGCAAGAATCATTAACAGATATATTATTTGAATGCCCCCCAAAAGTAGCTGTCTTCAATACTCAGGAGTAATATGAATGATTCATGAACAGTGTTTTGCATTTCATATAAGTTATTGTATTTTAGTACAGGACAATCATTGCAGTTAAAAAAGCATTTAAAAGTTGCAGGTTATTCTGTGAGATTCAGATTCAAGATTGACTTCCAGTACTGATTGTTATGGTGTTCTTCTTGAAAGACATTCTTAAAATGGTACAATCACAGAACCATAGAACTGGGGGAGGGACCAACTCTAACAGAAGCTTTTTAGTGGGAACATAGTTACTGCTGGGAGCCTAACCACCTTTCTGGGTAATTGGCCTTTACCATTATTTTCCTCCATTCAGTTGGAATCTTCGTTCTCATATTTCAAACTATTATTCTTTCATCGGCTATTTTGAGATAATAGAGAACAGTCTTGATCTTTTCTATGATATCCTTTCAAGAAACTAGAAATGTACTCAAGACTCATGCCCGGTGGGTTTAATTTTTTTTCATAGGATTCCATTTCTAGTTCCTTGATCATTTTTCACTACCTTTCCCTAAACTTTAATGTCACTCACAGAGCAGAGGTGTAATGTGAACTGATCTAGGTGCGCATGTAACTGCCTCCACCACTGAATTTTGTACCAGCTGAAGCTTCCAGATGCTCTTCGAAGGTAGCAACATGTACGGCATGTTCCCCATCCTGTATCTGTGCATTTGATTTCTGTTTCTTTTTCTTAAGTATATCTGTTAAACCTCATTTTGTTATTTTTAGCTATGTATCTATTCTATTGTCATGCCATCTGACTCACATTTAACTTATTTGCTAACAAAATCACCATGAGGTATTTTGTAAAAAAAGCTTCATTGATATTAAGGTATATTAAATCCATGGTATTGTCATAACCTACTAAAGAAGTTGCCCAAAAGAAATAATGATGTGATATTATTGTCTGGCAAGACCAAGTTTTGATAAAACCATGCTAACTTCTGCTAAATACTGCATGGTATTCAAGATTGATAACTCTGGAATCTTCCCAGCTATCAATGCCAGACTTCTTGATTTGTAATTCCCTAGATCAGTGGTGTCAAACTGCCGGCCCATAGGCCGGTTGCATCATGCGGAGGCCACGCCCACCCCAGCTTCAGCAATGCGAAAAAAGTCACGATACGTCGCAACACATCACGTGGCGTGGTGAGTTTGACACCCTTGCCCTAGATCTTTTTACTCCCTTTTGAAAATATGGGCATTTTGCTTTCTTCAGTTATCTAGTACATCATCTATTCTCTAATGATTCTTAAGGATAAGAGACTGAGGTTCAGACAAACTGAAGCCCGCACATGCGTCAAAGCATCTTTTTGCCTCTTAATCCAAAGTACAACACATATCTCCTATATCTGTCTCTTTGCTTTCACTAAAAGACTTATTTATTCATTCATTCATTCATTCATTCAGTTATTCAATTTGTAACGTGAAACATCTCAACACTTGGATGGATTTTAGGCTTTCACATTAGTTTCTATTGTTAGTCATATTTTTCTCAATAAAATTATTTGCAACTGTGTTTTTAGTATTTCTTTTTAAAATTCTGAGTTCCGTTTCCAATTAGCTTCTCCGGGCACTGAATCCTGTTTATCATTGCTCTGGGTTTAATAAAAAATGCTTTTTTGAATTCCAAGATATTTATTCAATGCATCAGCTTTCCCTCAATAGATGCTTTCCCTCAAAATGAGTGTGATTTTGCGTGACTACGGGGACACATCCATGCAGCTTTCTTGGAAGTAGTACATAAGTAGTTTGCCATTCTCCTATCCCAAGATATTTTTCAACTTCCTAAAATATCTTACAGCCCTGTCATTTTCTAATTATCTCCTATAGAAGTACTAACTAGGTTTCTGACCCCAGATAAGTCAGCTTTAGTTTTTAGTTTCCCTAAAAAGAAAAAGAACTTCTCTTTTTGGTCTCTTTCCTCCAATGTTCCTGTTATTTCCACTTAAAGGTAAAAAAGGAGTCCCTGCGGATTTTACTCCCCTAGTCATTGCCGACTTTAGGGAGCAGTGCTCATCTCCATTTCACGGCCATTGTGCCAGTGCTATCCGAATACATTTCCACAGTCATGTAGCCAGCACAAAGCACTGTTACCTTCCCACGCAAGTGGTACCTATTTATCTACTCGGATTTACATGCTTTTGAATTGCTAGGTTGGAGGAAGCTGGGACAAGGACTGGAACTCACCCCATTGCGTGGCACTTGGGTCTCGAACCTGGACTGCTGGCTTTCCAGCCAACAAGTCCAGCCTCTTAACCACTGAGTCATCGTATCACCCATTTCTAAGCTAAGTCCAGAAGAAACATATATCCCACTCCCATCACCTGAGGGCCATCCTCACCAGCAGCACTGTAGTAATTTAATGACCAAAAGATGTTTGTCAACAGTTCAGCATCAACTGCAAAAATGTCTCCTCGAGCACTTGTGTTTCTCCATTAAATTCCTTCCCAAAAATTGAGTTCTATCTCTCTTATATCAGAGGTACCTCATGTAAAATTGTATTTACAGGCTGTTCTCCTGGTACGTCTACTACAAAGACTAGTAGATGGTTGCAAAAGAAAAAGGGTTTTCTGATTATGATACACGTAAGCTACAGAAAGCTATCCTGAAGTAGTTAAACTGTCTTCTGCTTTGTAGTTTTTCTAACAGTTTTTTTTATTTTCCATACTATATTTCCATTCCATATTTTAAAGCTTTCATATAACTCATTTAAGTTCTTACATTTTAACTGTCAAAAATTGTGCGATTTTAGTTAGTTAACTACTGTATATTATCTGCTACTGGAAACTTTAACATTCCATTTTCTTCTTTTATAGCTTATAATTGTACCTTAATGTTTCACTGATGATTCTAATTCTAAGCCATCTGCAAAAACTCACTAGATGTCATAAAAAAAAAATCAGAGTTATGCCTACATATGAAGTGGGAGGAGCTGTGTGGGGCTTTGAAACTTGCTATTTCTAAATTGATTCAATAATTTAGGACGTGCAATGAAAATAAATGATTTCTACTACTGCAATGGATGTGAACTATTCAGTGCCTGCTCCGCAGTCTTTGTATTACTTTTATACATTCTCCATTTGTGAGTTCGAGCCATAGAACTCTAGCTATAGAGCTATAATGATCAAGAGCAGGAACAGCCCCTAGCACCCTGCTATTTCATTATTCCAAACTCCCCTATATTTGTTTCCAACTGTACCATCCACAGTATGAGATGCCACAGGATCCCAGATGCCATAGCAGCTTACATCCAAACATCTTCACTGCCGTATAACCAACGGTAACACAATCCTAAGGAATATTTTCCTCTTTCACTTATATTCTCTTCTCTCCCACCTTTAGACAAAGCTACCATTTGCTGCTGTTCTGCAAAACCAATTTAATATTACTAGCGAACAAAAGAATTGAGGAAACCTAAATACTGTAATTGATATCACAGGTACTGCAAATTCTACCCCCTAATAGCATGGGAGAAAATAGGTCCTCAGACATCAATATAAAACCAGAATCAAAATAAATTCAAGGCACAATTTCAATTTATACATTAAGAACAACACTTTTCAGAGCCAGACGATTAATGACTGAAATATAATTTTACTACAGCTCTCTAGTAACTTTCAGTTACTAGAAGATTAGTGAATGAGGAAAATAGAATCTTATTTAACACGAATGAAATATGGGATTTTGTTCCAAGAACAACTACTAGAAGGAACGATGAACAAAACATGCAATACATAAAAGAGAAAAATAGCTCTCTGAACTCAGTACCTCAGCTTGACAAAGTGCATGAAGTCCTTGTAAGACTAAGGCAGCAGGCGTGGCTTGGTCGGCTTTTGTGCATTCATTCAGTACCTGAGAAATTGCAGCCAGCATATCTGCCCCATGTTGGTAAGGCCTAACAAAATACAAATGTTTTCATGTAATTATAAAAAAAATGAACATAATTGCATGGTTATCTCAAGATCTACAACTTCTGTACCAGTTTAAGGCACCAGGCTAGAAAGCAGGAGACTATGAGTTCAAATTCCGCCTTGGCCATGAAAGCCAGCTGGGTGATCTTGGGCCAGTCATTCTCTCTCAGCCCATCTCACTTCACAAGGTTGTTGTTGTGGAGAAAATAGGAGAAGGAATATGTGTTGGATATGTTCACCACCTTGAGTTATTTGTAAAAATAATAAAGGCAGGATATAACGGCAGGATATAATGCACATATACATACATACTCTGTCTCTGGAAAGGAATCTGTGGCCATCCACATATTATTAATCTATCATTCCGAGCACTGGCTCTTATGGATGGGGCAGCTGGAACCTGAAATTCAAGTACAGCTGGAAGGGCATAATTCACCATCTCTACCATAAGAGAAAACATAAAAAATGTTTGGAGCCAGGAAAGCTATAATCTTCCATGCCATTTTAAAATTCTTGGTTTATTCATCTTTATCATATTACTTTATTCTTTCGCATATTTTCTTGTGTACTGATGTAGTTTCTTTAGAGTATTCAATTTAAAAAAAAAAGAACATTAGTATAATGTGTGAAGCTAACCACTTGTCCGTGGTTTAACGTAAGCTTGACTCCTGAACCTTATTCTATAAACCATTATGGTATTAAGTTCAGTAATAGTAACAGCACAACTTGTGGAAAAGGCATGAAATAAATTGACTTCATTCTCAGACATGACAGATTCATTAAGGATCTAGCTAGATCTTAACCAATTTTTCAGACAAATACTATATCTTGAAACATCTTGCATCAATTGAAAAAAATTAGACCTAGGACAGTAGAATATGAATTGAAGGAGTCATGTGACAAAGCAGATGGGGGAAAGGGACTGGGTTTATGATACTGCATTCCTTTAAAATACACAGCGGTCAAACCAAACTTTGGGGAAGTGAACAAAGTTTGGGGAAGCAAGGACACAGAATGATAACACAAAGTCTAGCCAATTCAAGGTTTTATACCACCTAGCTCTTAGACTGTTATGGTTCCCTTTCTAAGGTCATACTCCTTACTAAGATTATTATCAGTATAAGAGTACATTATTTGATTTTTTTTTCTTTTCCACAAAAGAAAAATACAAGTACACACAACAGCACTAAAATCAGCACAATTTTAGAATTGATAAGCATATATCAATTTAAAGGAAAAAAAGGAAAAAAAGTTGGGAGGACAGAATGAAAATTATGGTATAAATAGAACAACTCCAAAAGCTTTGACCATATTGCTCAAAACTCTTTTGCCTTGAACCTTTGCCCCCCCCCCCAAAGTTAACACTCTAATAGTAACAAGCAATACATATCATCAAGCCAAGAAGAAAATAAGCAAATTTAACATATGACAGTGTATGTGTTATGATACTGTGTCCTTGCTTCCCCAAGCTTTATTTTCACCTTTCCCAGTTTCAGTGTTATCATCTGTCTCTGACATTGCTGCAAGAACCTTGAGTTTGACTGTTACGTATGAAACCTAACATTTACCTTTGCTTGCATATATCTCTGATAGAAGCAGCTTTGGCAATCACCTTCTCCCACTGAGTATCTTTACTAACAGATAATGAAGCCATATCAGACATTGCCATGAATCTCTGCAGTTCTGGATAAACTCGATCCTAAATATATTTTGATAGGAAAAAGGGAAACAGAAGATTAGAAAGTGACAATTTATTGCCCTACTGTTATTAAATTAATCTATCTTTTAAACATCAAGAGTTTTACAAATTCATGTCCCCTCCTACAATGCATACTTTGATACAATTTTATGTCTGTTTTCAAATAATAACTGCACACACCAACTCTGTCTGTGTGTGCGTGTGTCAGAGAGAGAGAGAGAGAGAGAGAGAGAGAGAGAGAGAGAGAGAGAGAGAGAGAGAGAGAGAGAGAGAGAGATCCCCAAGCCATATGATACCTTGATAATCATACTATAGCTCTCAGATTTCATGCAATGATCTCGGGGTATTTGACAACATTTGGGACAATTTCTAAAAACACAGGGAAAGGATAGAAAGTAGGGCTTCTGAAATTTTTCCAACTTTTTTTATCAGCAGCTACTATAGGAGGACTCTGATTTTTCTTCCATTTAACAGAATGAGAACATGTGTGTGTGTGTACTTCTGCTCTCATCCCATGTGTCTGCATATATTTGTATGTACAGTTGTATTTGTACAAACAGGCGCTGTGAAGTATTGAGCAAGCAAACTACTGCACACCCTGCTCTGCTCTGAGCCATGTGACCAAGACACGGCATTTAAAATGGAGAGTAGACAGAATTTTAACATACAGGTAGCCCTTGACTTACAACCACAATTGAGCCCAAAATGTCTGTTGTTAAGGAAGTTACGGGAATTTTGCCCCATTTTACAACTTTTTTTATAACAGTCATTCAGTGAATTGTACAATCCTTAACAGAACCTGGATTCCTTCATTGACTTTGTCAGAAAGCACTGGGAAGGTTATAAATGGTAATCACATGACATTGGGACAGTGCCACTGTCAAAAAATATGTACCAGTTGCTGCAATGGTCATAAGTGTGAAAAATAATCACAAGTCACCTTTTTCAATGCTATTATAACTTTGAACGGTTACTAAATGATGGTTGTAAATCGAGGACTACCTGTATTGCCCACTGTTTTTCTCATCAAAAGAGAAAATGTTTCTGGAATTGTTTTCACTATGGTGTCCAGACAGATCCAGGGCATTTTGTAAAAATCTTTCTTTTGCCAGCTTCTTTCCAGCACCAAATCTTATTTTGCCCCACAATAAGTTCTGTTCAGGTTTTTTTGAAGCTACCCACTGAAAGAGAGGATCTTAAGCCCCTTTACATCATTTTTTCCAACCCTCCAATTTGGATTAAAATGGATGCAAAAAAAGAGGGTGCATAACTGAAAAAATTACTGTACACAATATTTTGACTAATTTTCAGGTAAGAGTTTATATAATGGATGGATAACCTGCAGTTATATGTAGCCATCCAAAACTCCCAACATGTATATCAATTACTTAAATAAAAAGATGTTTTCAAGAAAATATTATTTTCCCATCTCTTAAGGTTTGTAACAGTAGGGCTTGCTACAGCAGTGGATGACACAGTTAAGCATTTTTTATTTTTATTTTTATTTTGGTCAAACTGAAAATTAACAGTTTGCAAAACTTTACCTGTTTCTCCCATAAACATGTCATCAGACGTAACGTAACAGCTTGAAGTTTTGGCGTGTTTCCTAATACCTGCAGCACACGTAAAATCTGTGCAACACAGACCTAGAAGATATTTTTTTGTAAATGCAATTTCTTGTATATTCATTTATCATGTAAAATAAATCCATAAAGATTAATTTTGTACCATCTTCAGATGCACTAATGTGCTCTCCTTGTTTAAGACAACAATCAGAAAGTAATTTTTAATTTGACTGATTGCACAATTTAGTATTACAAGTAGACAAAAGAGAAAGCAGAGTTGTAAAAAATTGGGTGTAAACAGGATAGGGTGAGGTATAGCCAACAATCCCACATTGTCTTTATTTATAATCTATAATCTGCGCTTTCATTACAGGATAAGAGTAGACGTGATGTTTATAGTTCAAGTAAATTAATATACTTGATATGGGATAAGCTGTGGAAACTTTACGTATAATATTTTTAGAAATTTAGGCAAATGAACCATTAAAAAGTTATTCTGCTGAATATATACACTGATGCATTCTTAATTTAAGAATGAAATGTGACTTCAGTGAACTATATTCATTGTACACACTGGGATTAGATTAAATCGCTCAGAGAGGCGAACTGAAAGTAGGAATTGTTAAATAAGATGTTACTTATTACTGCTATATACAACCTTTCTTCCAAGGAACTCAATGCAACACACATAATGTACTCTCTTCCATTTTTTCCTCATTTGTAAAATAAGTTGTGCTGAGAGACAGAGACTAATTCTATCACTCCCTAAATGTTTATGCGGAGACTGGAACTTTTATCTCCCTAGTCTTAGTTTAATACCTCTACTATTTTATCAAAATGGCTCTCAAGACAGCTATAATCAACTATATCAAATATTACTTATTTAAATAATAATTCTTTTCTGTCCATATTTAGTATTTCGAATGAGCATACAGTTGTTATTTGAACATATTCATTTGATGTATTTATTTGGTTTTTGCCTGTTATTATTAAAGATACTTAATTATAACTAAGTTGAACCTGCCAATTTAATCAATAGTTGGGTTGTTGTCAGGCACAAGAAATCAGGAACCGAGGCTATTCAAATCAATACAAGTTTATTCCATGCTAGCTCTCTACTAATGGTCAAAGCAAATTGGTGGTAAATAAGAGTCAATGGAATTCAAGGTGAGCTTAGATCTCTTGTGGGCATGAAGGGACTTGAAAGTGATGACGGGTTTGACCCTTCCTTCAGGCTCAGCCTGGTCAGTATTTTCATAAATTAAAAGGTGAATATCCTATTTCTACTTTCTTTCCCCCTTCACTGGTTCCTGTGTATAACTGTTTTAAAATCAATTTAAAAAGCACATTTTCTTCACCTTCTTTCATGCCATTAGAATAACATTTGATACCTTTATATACCTTTAGGTCACCATAAGCCCGGAGAGCAAAATGGACATCGCCAATCAATTTGGAGTGAATGGGTATGGGGTTAGGATGGCAATGACTTTTCTAGTCTACCCTATCAATTTGTTCTGGGAAAATACACGGGAAAATCCCATTGGAGGAAAATTCCTCTTAGGGTTAGGGTTAGGTCACCATGAACTCGGACAGCAAAATGGAAAGTGCCAACGGACTCGGAGTGCTTGGGTATGGTTAGGAAGGCAGTTACTTTTCTAATCTACCCAATCTATATTTCCTGGAAAAATACATGAGAAAATCCCATTGGAGGAAAATTCCATTTAGGGTTAGGGTTAGGTCACCATGAACTCGGAAAGCAAAATGGACACCTCCAATAAACTTGGAGTGCTTGGATATGGTTAGGAGGGCACTGACTGTTCTAGCCTGCCCTTTCAATGTTTCCTGGAAAAATACATGAGAAAATCCCATTGGAGGAAAATTCTACTTAGGATTAGGTCACCATTAACTCGGAGAGCAAAATGGACATCACCAACCAACTCGGAGTGCTTGGGTATGGTTAGGAGGGCATTACTTAAAAGGAATCACTCACAATGTATATTCCCATAATTGTCTTGCGCCATGTCTTGCACATTCCAAGGATTACTATGGCAGCATAGAAATAAACCACGAAAAACCCTCCTAGGCCAACAATCAAAGACAATTATAGTTAGCATTTTTAATTTGTACAACCAGAACTGTGTATAAGTTTCAGGCATAGCAATTTGGGTCCCATTGTTAAAGCTTTCAACATTATTACCACAAGTAACAAAGACCCTATGGGAAAATAATCATGGCACTGAAATTAATTGCACCTCATATAAATAATAGGAGACATAAGTTATATTTTTATACTGACCTTATGAACTCCCAAAGCAGGTAAAGCATACAAGATGTCTCGGCAGAGTGTGGCCTCCAATGGTCTTCCCAATTTAAACATCAAAACTGGAATCAGATTTGGCACCTATACATAAAAGCAACCAACCTAAAATTAGCACATTGTATTACTAATTATTATAATACTAATACAGATAAATAGAAGCTTTTCTTTTGTGCTAACTTTCTCTAGTTTCAGAACAGAATCAGGTTTGAGACAAACAACAAAAGGAAATAAAAAAACTACTGTGAAATTTTGCACTTTATATCACAAAATAAATAATGAACTGTTTACAAATGAATTTTGACAATGAAGCAAAAGCAATAAGGATAGGATGTAGAAAGTATCTGTATATTATGACAATTTATATTTTAACATGTGAAAATATATAACAGGCCTCAATTTCACACATTCCTCCTTCAGTCTGCCTTCCAATATGTCTGGGAGTAGAATTTGGAGGTTGTACACTTCTATTTTTGCAAAATAAAACCTTCTCTGTTAGCTACAAGATTTATAATATTTAAGACTTCCGGTTTGCCATCGTGGCAGCCGCGGACACTGGAAGGCAAGCTCTGTCCTCCGCGTTCGGTTTTGTTCCGCTGGGGGACCCTGGAAAGGGTCGAATGTCGCTCTGTAGGGGCAAGGAGGGGATCCTCGCTTGATCGTGGGAGGGCAGAAGCCCTCCCGCTTGATCCGGGGCAGCCCTCCAAACCGGCGGAGGAAAGACTGGGCATAGCAACATGGCTTGTCACTAGGCTGCAGACAGCCAACGTCAAACTTACCACCAGGCACTTCTAAAGCAATACGGATGAAACTGGGTGAGATCCGATCCTCTCTCTAAGATCCTAAGTATTTTTCTTCCTGTAAAAGCTGCCCAAAGTATCTTTCCCCCTGTGAGGAGAGAGGGAAGGGAAATTCTATCCCACCCTCTAAGAATAACGGGACTGACTACCTAGGGGAGTTAAAGCACTAAAAGAATAACTTTAATTTAATTGGATTTATATGTTTCTGAAACTTGAGGACCAAAAGTTTTCTTATTTTCACTGAAGACTTTTGTTTTTATCCATAAAAAAGAAATAAAATTGGAAAAAGGACTATAAAAAATTTGGACTTAAAAAACCTTAAGCGGCATTGGTGACATCTTGTGGTGAAGCTTGGTATTACAACTTGTTATTGCCTAAAGGAGACTTGGCTTGAAGCCCAGACTACAGATAAGACTCTTTTAACTTTGATAAACATCATCTGTGAGAAGTTCAGCTGTAAAGAGAACTTCTGGGTGGCATGGCTGGCCTCCTTGTACTATGAATGTAAACCTTTATTGATTTTTAGAGCTGTGTGTGGGGAATTGCCTTCCTACTTTTTTATCTGAGGAATACTGGTCATTATTGCAGATGATGAAATACCTTAGATTATAAAATCTTACTTGACAAACTACTTTTACTATAAAGACTACCTACAAACGTATGAAATAGAGGTCCCATGCCCAGCTATAAAATTATTTTCGTCTGATTTCAAAGTCCTCAACTTAATGCACCATTAAGAGAAGATGGATGAAGACAGGAAAAGATTCTTTCCATGTTAAAAGCAATACATGAAACCATCCTTTCAGCTTGTGACAAAATAAGATGTTACAGAAAAGAACAAGATATCAGCTTAGATATACAAACTCAAATTCCGACTACAACTAAAGAACTAACAATGCAGAAGGTAACAGAAGAAGTAGAACAATCAAATACTAAGAAAGTGGACTCAATAGATCAACAAATACAGTCAATGGAATATCCAGAAAAGGGACTGACAACACTGAAAATGGAAAAGACTTTCAATATAAATCAGACAAAATTTGAGGAGCAAGAAGAAGAACAGACTGAATGGAAGATAAACATACCAGGACAATTATGGGGATTTGGAATAATAGGGAGACAATTTAAGGAATACAAACGGGCTAGCCCTTCCAAAAAAATGGCAACTAAATGGTCTCTCTTATTCCAAACAATATATATAATAATAGAAGGGGATCTATTTGATGATTTAAAAGTGTTGACATGGAAGGCTAGCTGGCAAAGAAAGAAAGCCAGAATAAGACTGAAGAAAATTGGGGTTTTGATTTATCACAGGGGATTATATTACTAATTAGAGGGCCAAAGGGAGAGAAGTTGAGATAAGAAAAATTTTGGTCATTAAAATTAAAACATTTGGAAATTAGTTGAAAACAAGGATGCTATTTGTTTAATACTTAAAAATTAGACTCAAAAGAAAAAAATTATGAATATGTTTGATTAATTGGTTAACTCAGACAGTATAGATAACGGGCTTTGATTTATTAAAGGGGATACTGTATTATCAATTAGATGATGTAAGATGGGGGGAAATAACTTTTAGAAAATAGAACAAGATTATACCCAAATAGATAAGATGTGTATTTTGAATATTAGATTCTGTTATGAATTGAGATAAAGGAAACTTTGTTTACCTAAAACCTGGAAATTATAAATATCAAATGTTAAATTTGAATATTGATGGGAAACTAAAAATTGGGAAAAACCAATAACAGGACATTGATTGACTGTAAAGATTGAATGTAAAAGTAATTATATATAACTAAAAGTTTATTGATAAATGTAATAATGATGTTTTTATTTAACTGTTATTAGCTTAAATATGAGATAGTAGATATTAAGGGGAAAAGAGAGGAAATATTTGAGGTTGTAGCTTGAGATTTGTACTAAAGATTTTTGTATGTTACTGAACTATTGATTAACCCAGCCACCACATTGCTTTTTAAATACCTAAATGTAAAAATAGAAAATTAATAAAAAGATTATTAAAAAAAGATTTATAATATGTATGATTACTTCTAAAAGGCTTGGTTGTTCAAAACTTACCAGAATTAATGTTAAACATTTAACATTTGCTAATCTGAATAACAAAACTACCCTTAAAGGAAAATGTTCAAAATGTTTTCCTATAGGAAGAAAGGAAGGAATAAGCTAAATATTTAGGATGGTTCATTTGTTGCCGTAATAAACTATCATAGTTCCCATGAGCATTAATACCCTCCAGCAGTTCAATAATAGCACTCCTCAACTATTTCCTCTTTTATGAATTGGATTATATTAATTAAAAGGGATGTGCAGTGGTGCTTCAGATTGAAAGGGAAAAGGTGCCTTAGCATACGAGCTGGTGTCTATTAGTACCTGCTGGGAATTCCTTAAACCAATTAAATCTTTACCCAGGATCATACTGTAGCTGAAGACAATCATTCAATTCTATGAAAAGAAATGCTTCTACATTAAGAAACTGATTACTATATTAAAGTCTCTCAGACAGGAATTTATGCACCTGTCTATAAATCTTTCAGTTCCATTAATTTTTTTTTAAAAATTAGCCTTTTCCCATTTATAATTTTTTTGCATATACCAAGCTTGAAATACAGTATTCACTTTGTTGATACGGCTCAGTATTCACTTTTTTTTTACAATTTAATTGTTTCTAATATACATCTCTGAACAAGCTACAGAAAGCATGACATCCACAACAAACATCTGGCATGGGGACTGGAGGCTAAAACATATAAGGAACAGTTGCTGGAATTGGGTATGTCTAGTCTAATGAAGAGAAGGATAAGGGGTGACATGATAGCAGTGTTCCAATATCTCAGGGGCTGCCACAAAGAAGAGGGAGTCAAGCTATTCTCCAAAGCGCCTGCAGGCAGGACAAGAAGCAACGGATGGAAACTAATCAAGAGAGAAGGAATCTAGAACTAAGGAGAAATTTTCTGACAGTGAGAACAATGAATCAGTGGAACAACCTGCCTCCAGAAGCTGTGAATGCTCCAACACTGCACATTTTTAAGTAGAGACTGGACAGCCATTTTTCTGAAATGGTATAGGGTTTCCTGCCTGAGCAAGGGGTTGGACTAGATGACCTCCAAGATCCCTTCCAGCTTTATTATTATTATTATTATTATTATTATTATTATTATTATTATTATTATTATTATTGTTGTTGTTGTTGTTGTTTTCAACCTCTTCAATAATAATGCCACTTCAGGACAAGGAGAAGAAATGGGAAGGTGGGGAAGAGAGGAAGGGGGGTTTGGGAGGGAGGAGTCCCCAACACTGTAGTTTGCTCTTCATATATATTGTGTGGGAAGATTTTTTTTTCCCACTTGTTACCTCTGGCCAATTTGGACCATTTTTGAACTTTTGTTTCCTTGGGTTCTCCAACCATGCCAAATTTAACCCCATTTTGCTCAATTTTTGAAAAGTTATCCTGCACGCCATTAAGTTGGAAAGAATCAAATGTGGCAACATCAACATATCTAATTTGTATAGAATTCGAAATATACAGTATTTTGTTGATTCTGAACCAATTTTTGAATTGAAAATGCTCAGTACTAACAGATTCAATTCACTGCTGCCTGGCAATGATGAACTCAATATACTTAACTACTCTCATACCTGTAATGTGTCACTGATGAACAAGTTATTTTTGATTTGCAATTTGAAAGAGGCTATGTAGCATTCTTGATTAGTTACTCCCTCCTGATAATCCGGCTACACTTGAGTTTGTATGGATTTGAAGCAGAAAAAGTAGGCTACACAGAGAAATGGAGGGAAGGCCAAAAAAAAAAGGGTAGATTGATCAGAAAAGATGTCAATTTCTGCTATGGACAAAGAAACCATGGTTCTGAACATTAGCAGGTGAACAAATGGGACCTCGACCTGGGGTTAGGGTTTTTCTTTTCTTTGTCCCAACACTTATATGTTTTTGTTTTCTTTCCCTGTTGAATCTCTGTGACATTCTGAATCTTGCACATAGACACAGATACACACAATAGACACACTGATCTGGTTTATGAATATGTATTCTAGGAAAATAAAGTGGAGATGACTTGGCTCACCGATAGAGAAAAGGAAAGGAAATTTGTAATTTGTCCTTACAACATGAGTGTACTTCACGGGAGCAAAAAACTGAATGTCCTTGGAAGACAGACTTAGACATATTCTTGTAATGAGGTTTTTGGCAGGTTACTTGTCTCTCATTTCCTCTTGTCTGCCTTTTCCAAAAAAAAGGACATTTTG